CCCCAAAACCCCAAAACCCCAAAACCCCAAAACCCCTCCCTAAACTTGCAACATTGAGATACTATTGGAATTTCCAAAAACCTAGAGTTTAGTAACTTTAAAGCTGGGAATGCATTCTGAACCGATACCAAACCCGACTCCTTCCTTATCCAAAAGAGCATCATCGACTGTATATCCGATATGAGTGAGAACTACTATCAAGACCACCTTGATCTCCAGAACAGCAAAAGATTGACCTGGACACGCCCTGGTACCATGGGAGAAACTTCTCTTGGAATATCCAGCTCCTATCTTGCCCTCCTTGCTGGCTTCTTGGAAGAACTCTGACTCCACATCGAAACGTTCCGGCACGAACTCGTATGGGTCCTTCCAATAATTTGGGCTATAGTGCCCAGCATTGATATCCTTCCTGAAGATAGTTCCCTTCGGGAAGGGAACCCCACAGATATTGACATCTTCAACTGCGAAGTAATTGAATGGCTCAGAAGCAGGATTGTCCATCCTGAGAGCTTCCTTGACTACACAGGCTAGGTAATCCAAGCTCTCCACGATTTCTTTCGTCAGTGTCTGCGACTCCACAAACTGCTTCGTGATTCCATTGTCTTCAAACTCCTTCATCAACTTTTGGAGTGTTCTCGGATATTTCTTCAGAAAGAATAAAGTAGACACCATAGCGTGAGACGAGGTCTCAGCTCCAGCGAGGATGAAGGCATTCAAGTCGTTGATCTTCTCAAATTCTGTGAAATCAGTTCTATCAAGGATTTGCTGGCAGATCGACTCTTTCTCTGTACAGTTCAAGTAAAGCTCTTTCATTGCTTCCATATAAGTTAAATAATTCTCTCGATCTCTCTTGAATGGATTAACCAAGTTATACGTCATCAAAAATTTCAGAGTAATAGTCAAAGGATGAAATAGATGCGCATAGTGAGCTTTAAACAACCTGATGGAGAATTCTCGAAGACTGATATGGTCGACAGCCCCTCCTGGCATCTTATAAGACCGTTTCTTCTCAGCAAGAGCGATCATGTCAGCCCCAAAAAGCACACTTGTGAAAATATTGAAGGAGATGATATTAGTAACATCTACAAAATCATGAGTGGTGCCTTCCCCCAAAGACTCAAGGACTTCTTTAGTAAACTTAACCATACATGGGATATGCCTGGACGAGCTGTTAAGACTTAAGAAGCTAGTCAGCAGCTTCTTTCTCTTAAGAGTCTGCTTGGTACTCCTTTTAAACAGGAAGGTGTCCTTACCCAGCTTGTTCAATCCCTTTTTAGGGTCAAATCTATCTATTTTGTGCGGCTGCAGCTTGCAAAACTCTTCAATTGCTTGATTAGAGTGAAGCATAATCAGTGGCATCTGCCCTTCGATCCTGACTTTCATGTCATAGTCCTTCAGAGGCGCAGCTTGCTTGATTCTGTGTGAATAGAAAGCTCGGCCTGCTTTGTGATCATCCAGGGCATCCTTCACGTCACCAAGAAAAGGAATGAATTTTTGAGTGGTATACACATTTGGGTACTTCTGGAACGTCTTCCAGTACATGTACGGAAACACGAGTAATTGATAGACTAGGTATGCCAAATACAGGCCAACAGAAATGCCTATATACTTCAGAATTGTGAATAGTATTTCTTCCATTTATATTTATTTATTTATCATATCACAAACCGCTATTCAAGTATCATCCCAGAGCTAGGGGTTTTGGGGTTTTGGGGTTTTGGGGTTTTGGGG